AGATTTTCTGGAGGTCTTTGGATGCTCCCCAAATTTTTCTTACATTTGTGTGGTACTCACTGTGCGTCACTGTGCCCTAGATAAATTACTAGTTAGATCGAAGCATCTCTACATTTGATGATGGACCACTGGTCGTTAAACAGACTATGAACAGCATCAAGGTTAAGGATGAGTAACACAGGTTATTCAATTGCACATCCATTGCTTGACTAACCAATGCAAAAGTGGTGGCTCCCTCCTTCACTAACTTATCCTTACTAACCCGTTTCTTCAATAACATTATGCTTGTTTTATAAGATCATAAAAGAAGCCTCAGTTTCTGAGGAGTATGGAATGTTTATTCGCGTCAGTCATTAACCTTGAGGTGCGACATTCACGTGGTCTGGGTGACCTCCGTAATTGTAGTTGACGACGATCATTTAGGTAGATCGCTTGCATTGATGATCTGTACTTTTTAGGAAAACGCGATTTAGTGAGTGAAATGAATTCGGATGGTAGTGGAGTCAGGATCTCTCAAACAGTGTTGGTTTACCCTCAAACACTCAATAAAGACTTGGTAAAGTTTTCAATTCCTCTAAGTGGTTTATGATACGAGTCTTTAAAACCTGTCAATATATGTTTTAGATCAATCATTTCCGTGGATTTTTCTGTTCATTTAGTGGATAAGAGATGCATACAAGAGCCTTATTTTCAATGATAATTTCATTCGAAGACCTAGTGTTTACTTTATTCGCTTTTCATGCTAGAAGCTCAGATACGCTATAGTCACACATTCTTGGTAAACATCTGCAGATAGTTGTTAATAAGCAAAACAAAATCGCAAACGAAAGCCATACTCCGATCTGCTGCTCTAACACACTAAACGAACGGAAAGATGCCCCCAAATGCCAAATACCCCCACCTTCGTTTTAGGTTTGACGCGCGCGTTTCAAAAAGGGCAGTGACTTCATACTTGTGATTGTCGTTTCTTTTGTGTACTTGTTGCATCTAAAAGCATCATTGGTCTAATTTCACTTGAAGTATTTTGGTTAGGGTTTTAAGGTTTACTAAACTTTGTCTTGTGGTGCCTTCTTTCTTATTGACTCTGACACTTGTGTTCATATTATAATAATACTGTGTTTCAAACCATAATCTGATTGCAGTGGTTGGCAGCACCTATAAATGTGGACAGCTGAACTGCTTATTCCCCGTGGAGAAAGGAATGCAATGTGATGAGTATAAGAAGTGGTTCCACAAGATATGTACCCGTTTAAGTCCCACCGCATACAAAAGACACTCGATGCCTAACCCACGTTTGCTGTGCATGTTTTGCTGTATAAATAAGACGTTAATAATCCAGGAAGCTATGGGCCCATTAACTTTTACCTGTAAGAAGGAAGATGGTGGTTGCGCTGATATCAGCGTCAGTGTTGTACGTGCTGTTACAGGACACGTAAAACTCCCGACTATGATAGACGGAAAAGTGAGATCTCCGTTGAAAGTAATGAAGAGTGGAGCGCCACTTAATATTGACATGGGTAGTCATGCATCTTTGATGGAAATTGAAGACCTAGATGAAACTGTCACGGTTCTACATAATTCCGGTGTGGCTGTTCTGAGTGATGAAAATCGACGGACGGAGAAAGAGGTGAAAAGAATCTAAAGTAATACTCACTTGATTGGCAAGTCATTGAGGAACTAGCACTCTGAGTCACACCACACACTACCAAACTCTGATAATAAGGCAGAACTCCATCATGGCGTGACTCAGAAGAATTTAATGCCATCGAATATTATTGTAATTTGCTGGAGTCAGACGAGCCCGATCCCCGGAATAGACACGTGCATGATTTGGAGAAGCTCGTAGAATATATTCTTAGCATCTTACCAGATAACTCTAAAGGAGTTCAGGTCCAAAAGTTGGTTAGAAAAGGTAAGAGAGCCGACGATAGTGTTCAACCCCGACTATACAGACTTCTTATCTTAATCATAGGGTCGGAGAAACAACATAATCTTGCTTTAAGTAGCGCCCGTAGTCACGACGATTCTGACACTCGGGTAATATTTGACAAGTCTCTTGAAAATAGAATATAAAGGAAGACAGGACCGGCTGAACTAGAAACCCGTCGACAAAATGGTGAGGAAAGTCTGCCATCAGGGGGCTTTCGAATAATCACATCTTGGGAGTGAATGCTGCCAAGGCCTGTGTCGATAGATCGTCCTCCCTAGGAGTTTTATATGCCAACGCTCGTAGTCTAAGATATATATTCTATGAACTGGGAGTGTTAGTGAACAAATTAGGGCCACTCAGTGTAGCTGTGTCGGAAAATCGGTTAGTCCATGACTTCGACATTACCACAGAATTATCCGGACACCATTGCTTAAGAAATGATGGATATAGATGCAGGAAAGGAAGTAACGTCTTTTTTATACATAACCAATAATATAAATATCCGCTCCTCTGTTTGCGAATCCTATGATAATGGAACTTGTGAAGTCATTAGCCGTGAGCTCACTATCAGATGTTGTACATTTGTACACGGTGTCATCTATCGCAGCCCAATCTGCTCAGCTAACGACTTTATTTTAGAGCACATTCAGCTATGGTGTGCAAATAACAGATACTTGATATTAGAAGACTTGAATTTATCTGACATTAGTTGGACTGAGATGACCACGGAAGAATCTATAAAATCCTTTGATAGTAGGTTCCTGGTAGCAGTAATGGAACATGCATTAGTATGGTATGCATCCAAACCCACACGTTTCGGTGTAAGCCAACGTTCTTCTCTATTGGAATTGGTAATCACTCATGCGACTGAGGATATTACAAACCTAAATATTCTTCCACCGTTAGTGAATAGCAATTACGCTTAGAGTTAGTGACACGATATACGATCAGGTTAACCTCCGCCCAGACTTATGGAAAGCTAACATATCAGCCATTCAGGAGTGCGCTGCTAAGCCAGATTGTTCAGTGGATACTAGCTCATCAGTTGAAGAAGAATGGTCTATATTTAAGGGCAGGTTTGGTTCAGTTACATCCTCGTTCATACTATTCCTGGTACCATGAGGCCGAATAATAGTCCACTATGGATAAATAAACAAGTCAAAAAACTTCCTAGACGTAGGAAGAAGCACTAGAATATGTTCATCTTTACTGGCTAAGAACAGTACAGATCCAGTTATTGTAAGATTAGGAATGCTTGTAATGCGTTAATAAGTTAGACCAGACGGTCATATGAAAAATAATTGTTTGGGGATTGTAAATATAGCCCGAGACGGCCATCTTAGTGAATAAAAAGGTGAACTGAGAGAAGTTATGGAATCGCATCACTTTTGGTGCAAGAAAACCCATTTTGTTGGTAAGAAATGATACTGGAAAAGCTGAAGCTCTATCGAAATATTTCAGTAACGTATTTTTATCAGTAATAAGGAACGACCAACGATTCATCGTGACTGCGGCGGCTTGTTGATGGGCCATGCAGTTATTGAGAAAGGTACTGTCTTAAGACTACTTCAACATCTCAAACCTGATAAGTCCAGTGGTCTTGATGATATTCATCATAAGATTATGAAAGCCCTATCAGATGTAATTGCTGAATCTTTAGCGATACTGTTTGATATGTCCCTGTGGCAGTCCAGCTTGCTCAGGGACTGGAAAGACGCAATAAGTAGTCCGGTGTATAAGGCTGGGAGTAGAGTAACTATCTACCCGTCAGCCTAACTAGTGCACTTGTGAAACTGATGGAAAAAATTATTTGGATGGCCTTTATAAACTATGTGGAAGGACATAATCTTTTATCAAGGAAACAATATGGTTTTCCGAACGATCTATCATGTTTGACAAATCTCATTGCAAGAGAAGATTGGGATGAGGCAAAAGATCGAAACGTTCCCGTAAATTTTCATATATCTAGGTAAAGCCTTTGATAAAGTCTCCCATTTCAGTCTTAAATTAAAACTGGAAACTTTTGGAATTCATTATGCAGTCATAGACTGGGTAAGAGACTTTCTACATGACGGGAGACTAGGAGTAAAAGTAAATGGAGCTCTCTCATAGTGGGAACCTGTGAAAAGTGGATTTCCGTGGAACACAATCCTCGGTTCTCTTCTCTTTTTACTTCATTTAAATAAATTACCAACTGTAGCTAAATCATCCGTTCTACTCTTTGCCGATGACATAAAGGTTTGGAGACCCATATACAGTATGTCAGATAGAATATTATTACAGGATGATCTCATCTCATTAGTGACATGGATGGACGGGTGGTCACTGGAAGCGAATCCTAACAAGAGTGTGGTGGTGCAATCAAACAACTGTGATGATTCGTATTAGTACACAATATGTGAATTCGTGTTATCCAAGGTAAGAAACTATAAAGATTTAGGAGTTATACTAAGCAATGATCTCAAAGCTACCGGTCACTGCAAGGCTGCTGCCGCAGAAGGCTACAGGGTATTATGGTCCATTCGTAGATTATACTCGACTTTCGTGCGACCACATTTGGAATACGGGATTCAAGCAGCGAGTCCTTGTTTTAAATATGACGCGGATATTCTGGGACGAGTCCAACACCGAGGGACTAAAATGGTGAAAGGTTTATCTGGCCTATATTATGAAGTCATACTGAGACACCTCAACTTATTTCCGTAATCTTGCAGTAGGATACGGGGTGATATCATATTGACTTATCGTATCCTGAACGATGACCTTAATATTAATATGTCTTACCTTTTCCTTCCGTCTCGGACTGATCATTTGAGAGGACATTCGAAGGAAGTTCAAAAACCTAGATCGAATCGTCTACGTACAGAGTTTTGTTCCTCGTATCGAGTAGTGAATTATTGAAATTCTATACCAGAACATGTAATATCAGCACCTTCTGTTGATATATTCAAAACGAGATTAGTCCTCGAAGACCAATCTGTGGATTCACAGTGTTACAAACTGAAAGGATTAATATAAGTCAGTAGACCTCCTATCCTTAATAATGAAGACTGAAGGTATGGTCATCGCGATTCCTTATAAGACCTTGTACTGAGATAGAATAATTCAAGGCGGGTCTTCAAAGTTGCAACTATGACCTTGGAGAGGTAAGTCTCGTTCGGCTTCAAAGCCTGTTTCTAGTGCCACTTTCGACGGAGTTCAAATCAAGCCTATAGTATCTGACGAGCCTGTGCTTAACTTAATTTCGCCACACCCTTTTAGATCATAGTGGTTGTAATCGGGGTAATTAAAAGAGAAGATTTATCAGTTATCGTTTTTTCAGAGTGGTAAATTACACTATAGTGCATTGAAGGTATAATTTCATTTAATGTCAGCCTACTTTAAAGAGGGCTTAAACACTTCTTTTGGCACTTGAAGTATACCGTCCTGCTATTCTGATAAATAGTAACTTAAAATTGATCAGTTCGTAAGCTTTTCTGCTCCCTTTTTTTTTGTCTCAAATGAGATTTCATTGTATTTCAACATGTTTCTTAATAAGTTGTTCGTCATGATAGATGTTTGATTGAAAGTGGCCTTCAAGTGATGGTTAACAATGCTTGGTAAACTCACTGTGACCAACGTAAGTTACGGGCTTCTTGACCCTGATAACTACTCATGTAGTCATTCCTTAAAGTTGGGTGCCTAGTGCCTTAAAATTCCTTTACATTGAATCTAACTCCAGGAGCTTTCTTGTTTGTATTTTGTCCTGTTATCTTTGAATTTCTTCTGAAGAATCATTTGTTTTCACTGTCCTGGATTAGTTTGCTGTGTAACGTAAACACAAGCAACTAGAATGAAATAAGGTTCCTTACTAACCATACTCTGGCCTTATTTAGAGTCCATATTCACACGATAGTGGATCTTGTCGAAGTTAAAAAGTAGGTAATGGCTGTAATTATGTGATAATTGGTATTTTTGGGTCCTTGACAGGATTCACATATTACTGACTCAAGCTTGAAAATTAAATTTGGTTATCCAGCTACAATTTCCCATTTACTTTTAAATTCATCATAAGCTTGCCTTGAACATTTTTCTCCTAAAAACCTTGCCTATTACGTCCTAGTGACTTTCTTTAGTAAGTCTTGCCTGAATCCACGGTTTGCTTCCTGGCGAAAACAAAATACTTAATGATAATTTCCCGTCATGCAGTTGAACTTTATTTCATTTCCGACTTGGTTGTTTCTAAAAAGTTGAAAATTTATTCAGCAATTTATTTTCTACATCAGTTAATAAATAAGTGAACTGTGTTTAGTCGGCTACATCCGTAAATAAAAAGGACGGCAGGGAAATAAGAAGGCCAGAAAGTTATTACTAAAAAAACGTGCTGGTTAAATAGTCGACAAATACTCTTTAATGTTGGCAGAATAATGACTGTAGTCGAGTTTACAAGCAAGAAGACTTTTATTTATTGTCACTTTCTCGAATAGTCCACCGAAGCCTTTTTGAAACCTCAACTAACTCACTTGTCTCCCAAATATATGCTTATAAGTCAAGTAGCAACTTGAAAGTGAAGGACTTATGTTTTGCTTTGTTTGTCTTATCTAATAATTGTAATATCATTATTTGGATGATTTTCTGCATCCGTCTCATTAATTGTGCATTTAAACTGATCTTTTTTGTAACCAAGTAATCTAAATTTCGTGGATATTCTCCTGCCGTATAAACCTCCTATTGTGGACACTAAAATATTGCTTTAATAATCAGGCTAAGCATATTGTTCTGTCAGCTTAAAATCTAAATTACTGTCTAAATATGGTCGGTCTTCATGTATAGTATGATTCTTTTAAACGCAGTTTATTTTTACACGGATCTTTGTTGTTTTTTGTTTGTGTCTTCTAGAACGTATCTACTCAGTCGGCTAATAAAATACCTCCCTTACAAAAGTTTCGTTCCATTCCAAAGATATTCTTGTTCAAGTGCGAATTTACCAAACAGAGATCCTACTTCTGATTCAGACAAGTTAACAGAGTTTTTGAATAAAGCTGAGCGTTCAACAATTAAGGATAAAGATTTCTGTGATAATAGCCAAAGTTCTGTATACAAGACGAATGATGATTCTAAATCGACTGTTGATCCGTCTCCCATTTCTAATTTTCAAGAGAATTCTAGTGGAAAGGTATATTCTATGTAGTCGGTGATTGAATTTTCGTTTTATTTTAGGATAAGTTCGAAGAGAAAAGAGTTGTATCTTCAGTTTCATTTGTTCCATGGACAATGAGTTTATTTCTAAAGGAGATGGATATTTCAAAATTGCTTTCTAAACGTTCCGAAAGTCCAGAAAAGTCTTTTCCTACCTTATTGCGCTATAGCCCATTCATTCAGCTTGGAGATTTCAGGTCTCGTGAGGTGAGTTTTTTATACTTTTACTTCTGTCACCTAAATCCTGAGTCAAATATCATTCCTAACTTTTTGTTCAACTTTATCTGTTCCTTTTAAAACGTATTTATCATGCTTAGACTTCAAACAGGGTTGATGTTATTTCCTGCCAGTTGCTTCTCTTCCGATCGATTTCCTCCCTTTTAATTCTGAAATAAGTTATAGCAAGTTGATCCAATACACATCTGTGCCAGGTTCTACGCTGTGTGTAACTGACTGGAAACCAGATTCGGTTAAACTATGGTGGAATATTCACATATCGCATTCAAGAAATGGTTGTAATGATAAAATATAAGTGTCTTTTTGCTATTAGGTATACGACACTTTAATTTAAAAGCGTAACAATTCTACTAGCATTAATGCAAGATTATTTGCCACTTTTGAGGATACAGTTAAGACAATTGTAAACTTCTGAATAAAAAAACAAGACATTTAATAAAATTTCCACCTCAACATTCGTATTCATTATATTTGGTGCGGGAAGAACTTAGATTGGCAGATTTTGTAGTAGGTTTTTGTGAATAGCTATGGCTTATTGGTTAAAACACTTCAACAGTATCATCAACCTCCACAAAGAGTGTTTAACTCAAGATTGATAGCTGGTTTCATGAAGACAGTCGTCCTATTAGTAACTTGACATCAGTGACTAGATAAAACCAATAGACATTCCAAACTATTTAGTAGACTGCGGTCCATCTGAATCGGATGCAACCAAGAATAGTTAAAATATATTTTGGTCAATTACCTGCTCAAGGATAATAGGTGCTTTTGGGTGTTGAAAATAACGAAGGCTGAAAGCACGTGTTCAGTCTGTGATAAATGTGAGGTATGTCAGAACAATTGTCCAAAAAATCGTAATAGCTGGTATAATTATCACTAAATGGAACCCATTTTCGCTGACATTAGCCACTTTGTAAGTGGTCTTTGAGGACATTTCAGTTGGCTGTCCAGCTACAACTCCAATAGTACGCCACTACAGACAAACTTAAATTTTAAAGGTCGAGATGGTTTAAGTTAACTATGTTTAAAGATTGTTGTTCAGTATCAATAATCGAATCATCTTAGGTTCCATATAGGTTACTGGAGTCAGGTGTAAATTAATCGAGTTCCGAAGATTGGTCGATCATTTTGTTTTACAACAATGGACGGGTCTTGTGATGACGGAAGAGTAATCATTTCTATTTACAAATTGCTTAAAATATGTTATCGATGATCTTCAACACGACGCGTGGTGTAGAATGAATGATCACGTAAAATAGTTCAATTCGCTGTGCATTTTGAATGCTTCGTTACTTCATCAAGTTCTAAAATGAAGAAATATGATCATATGGTTCTTAATCTGACCACATTTCTCAATACAAAGGCGGCACTCGGCACGACTAATAGAGTATTTTTCAACATTGTCTAACATTAAATAAAGTTCCGAAAGAGTACATTACACTGTTGTTTTTGTCGAATATAGCGCATATGTCCCCAAAACAACTGAGAAATATCATACAAGTTACCACTACTGTGACTGTAAAATATGGTCCATGAAAGTGGGAGAAATTCGTAGGTTAAAGGTTTCTGGTCATAAGCGTTTTCAAAGCATTGTTCGCGTATCCTGGAATGACCGATTGAGCAATGTTGTGGTTAGACATAGGGTACATGGCAGACGTAGTAAATCAGTTGATGAGTTATTGGATCTTCATGAACTGATGTGATTAGGACGTGTGTTCGTATTCCTAACCATCACTTACTTTGAGCGATGCTTGTTGGTACAGAAGTAGGCTGTAAGACCCGACCGTTGCTGCTACCTTGACGTGGTGGTCGGGCTTGCCTATCGTGATGATTCAATCGAGCTATACTGGCTGGAACAATCGTTCCTCAAGGTCCTACCATGCCAGGCAGGTCGTTTGAAGAGCGGTGAGACTAAAAGCAGCAAACCCAAGGTCCGAAGGCGAAGTCGTACTGCTGACTGTACAGAGGTGTGACAGCAGTAAGGTGTTTCCTTCAGACAACCAGCATGACAGCGATGCTGCCTTCCCACAAGGAGGGGTGGGGTTAGAAAAGGTCGGCCCTAAAAATGCACACCTCGCCTTATCCCACGGATATCCGTCTCCGGCGGTAAGGTTTTTTTTGAAGAACGGAGCTAACACAAAAACTACCCACAAAAAGGTCGTGTGTGACCGACCTCAAGCAGTTGTCCCTTGGGCACTGCGGTCACGCTCTCAGGTCATTAAGACCACCTCTAACCCAATTTCCTTTTCAGGTACCTCTAGAAGAACCCTTCCACGGTGTGGGCAACCGGGAAGTGATAACTGCCCTCATACCTCTAACAGCACTCAAGACCACTGTATTCATAATCAACCTCCTTGTTCAATTCCTACTATTCCTTCTACCTTGACTTTCAACACTAAACTTCCTGTTCCGGTTTCCTCCTCAAGTGTCACCATGGCCAACGATTCTAGTGCGCGAAACGCTGTCCCAGGTTTACTAAAACCTCGCTCCAAACTACACATTGGAGCCTTCAACGTACGTACTTTAAGTCAAATCGGTCAACAGGCCTCCTTAGCTAAAACCCTAGAATCTCGTACCATTGATGTATGCTGTGTCTCCGAAACACGCATACAAGATCCTAGTGTGGTCATTCACTTGACCTCACCTCACCAAAATGGACAGCCAACGAAATACACCCTCCGTGTATCTGGCGACCCGTTGGCTAGTTCTCGTGGACTTGCCGGTGTAGGCATAGCACTAATTACAAGGGCAGAACAGGCACTATTAGAATGGATCCCCGATAACAGTCACCTGTGTGCTGTCCGGCTGAATGGCTCCGTAAGAACTCGGAAGGATAAAGACACACGTCGTTGCCTTTTCGTCGTTTCTGCCTACGCTCCCACTGACTGCAGCCATGATGAAGTGAAAGATGACTTTTACAGAAAACTCTCTGAGCTTCTTCAGAAAGCTAAGCGCTCAGACATAGTACTCATAGCGGGTGACTTTAATGCCCAGGTAGGCAGCTTGCATCAAACAGAAAGACATTTAGGTGGGTGTTTTAGTATTCCGGCTGAACGAACCGATAATGGTGATCGTCTGTTGCAACTATGCTCAGACAATCGTTTATTTTTAGCAAGGACTAATTTTAAGCATAAGGAGAGACATCGTCTAACATGGCGACCACCTGCACCAAACCAACGATGGACTCAAATAGACCATATTGTTATCAGTCATCGTTGGAGAGGCTCAATAGAAGATTGTCGCTCGTATTGGAATACTTGTTTAGACTCTGATCACGCTTTAATACGAGCGCGCATTTGTCTGCGCCTCAATGGACGCAGGAAAAGTACACTAAGAAGACCCATTAGGATTGAACTGGAGGACGAGAAAGCCAAATGCGAATTCCAGAAACAACTGAGTTCACATCTAGGCAGTTCTGTAAACGAGACTGACCCAGATACTGCTTGGAAAGACACACGAACAGCTGTGGAAACAGCAGTAACATCTATTAGTTATTTAAACCATAGGGCTCCAAAAAACCAGTGGATTTCTTCTAAGTCCATTTCACTGATGGATTCGCGTAATCTCATCCCATCAGGCCCTGAACACGACGAAGAGTGTAAAGAAATTAGATCTAGGTTAACTAAAAGTCTAAGGAACGATCATGAGCAGTGGTGGGCAACGAAAGCAAAAGAGATTGAAAAGGCAGCGGCTGTAGGCAACACCAGGCAACTATTCAGACTAATAAAAGAAACCGGAATTAAGAAGTCAAGTGTAAGTAAGACGATCTCGGAAAAAGATGGAACCCTTATCTGCTCTCAACCCAAACGTTTAGAACGATGGGCGGAACACTTTAAGGAGCAGTTTAGCTGGCCTTCAGCTACTGCACAACTACCGACTATTCCCAGAAAACCTGAATGGAACATTGAAGTAGGCCTCCCAACTCTAATTGAAGTTCAAAAGGCTATAAGTAATCTGAAACGAGGAGGAGCATCTGGTCCAGATGGATTGGCTCCAGAGGTCTTTAAATATGGTGGTCCAATTTTAGCGATTAGGTTGACTAATATTCTGGCTAAAATCTGGGAGACGGACGTAATCCCATCCGACTGGTCACAATCTCTGATTGTCCCAATATATAAGAAGGGGTCAAAATCATCCTGTGATAACCATAGAGGGATTAGTCTGACTAATATAGCATTTAAAATACTAGCCTCAATAATTATCGAGCGCCTAACTAAGACTCATGAACTTCAAACACGAGAAAATCAGACTGGCTTCAGAACTGGTCGTGGCTGTATCGACCACATATTCACTATTCGTCAAGGTTTTAGTTCACAGACATGCTTATCGGCGTCCGACAATGATAGTTTTTCTTGACTTGAAAGAAGCATTTGACTTTGTAGACCTAGAGGTTCTGTGGCAGTGTATATCATTGAAAGGTGTACCTCAGAAGTACATAAACCTTGTGAAGGCTCTTTACTCGAACACTACCAATCGAGTGAGAGCTTATGGAGAATTATCATATGATTTTACAACCTCAAGTGGTGTCCGTCAAGGCTGTCCACTATCCTAACTTCATTATAGACCTGTTGTTGGAAATAACACTCGTCGACTGAATTCTCAGGAATTGATCTCCTATCAGGAGGTTCACTTATCAACTTAGAATACGCAGATAAAATAGTCCTGTTTGGCGAAGACGATGATAAAATGCTGAGTCTTTTGGTTGCACTGATTCACAATGCATGGATTTTTGGGATGCGTTTCTCCCCATCCAAATGTAAATTGTTACTTCAGGACTGGCCTGTGTCAACACCTGGACTAAGGATAGGGAGTGAAGTATTCGAACGCGTCGACAACTTAACTTATCTTGGAAGTCTGATCAGCCCTAATGGGTTGGTGTCTGACGAAATCTCTGCACGGATTCAGAAAGCTCGTTTGGCTTCTGCCAACTTACGTCACCTATGGGGAAGGCGAGATATCCGTCTATCAAT